ATGTTAGTCATTTAAGGAATGTTTGTCAGGGACTGGCAGTATGAGATTAATTTGCCCAAAACTTACCTAATCTTTTTCTTCCACCTTTAAGGTTAAAGACAGCAAGATAAGACAACTTCAGATATTTTCAATATACAAAGGAGAATCAGTACCTTGTAATTACATGAATACCTACCGCCAATTTCACAATATCCTGTTCTAGACCTCTGGAGAGAACCTGGTTTCACGATGTCCTATTCTAGATCTCTGGAAGGGCATAGAAATCTCTATTCACAAATCATTTCCTAACCTGGGAATCCTGCTTTTCACCTTGTTAAGGATAAAAAGATCTTAAAACTTATGCTGAGATAAGATCCCCTGCCCAGAGACTAGCCTATCAATTTCTCACTGCATTGGCATTCCAAATAAATCATCTTCTTTACCCCAACAACTTGTCCTAGATTCACTGAGCCCCCTTTAGAGCAATGAGTAAATTGACTTGTGTTCAGTAATAATGTCAAATACCAAAAACAAAAATTTTGTTGTGAAAAAAAAATGTGAAAAGGGGAAGATGGATAATTCTTGGAAACATGCTGAATGAACTGTATATTTTCTGTGCTCATTCTGATAACTAGTTTTTCTCGATGATTGGCATACAAATTAGATACAAAAATCTCGGCTGGGTTTGTGGCTCAGTGCTTGTCTCACATGTGTGAGACATTGGGTTCAATCCTCGACACCACATAAAAATAAGTAAAACAAGGGCTGAGGTTGTGGTTCAGTGGTAGAGTGCTTGTCACATAAAAATAAACAAATAAAAGTATTGTCCATCCACAATAAATAAACAAACAAATAAATAAATAAAGGTATTGTGTCCATCTACAATAAACATATATTTAAAACATCCAAATTTCAACTGAATTTATTGTTTTTAGAATAGGCCTTTCTTCTGAATATTCCATTATTTTGATTTCTATTTTTAATAAGAATGCAGTAGAGGAAGGGTATGGTAGTGTATGTCATAATCCCAGCTACTTGGGAGGCTGAGGCAGCTTCGGCAATTTTGTGAAAGCATGTTTCAAAATTAAAATTAAAAAGGGCTAAGCTTATATCTCAATGGTAGTGTGCACATGGGTTCAATTCTTAGTACTACTAAAATAAATAAATAAATAAATTAATAAAAATTTAAAAGCGAGGGCTGGGAATGTAACTCAGTTGTTGAGCATTGCCCTACCTTGCACAAGGCCCTGAATTCAAGCCCATGTACGGGCAAAAAAGAATGGAATGGAGTCTATATTATTTTGAATTTAAAATAATCACCAAAATTTTATTCTAATTCCCTAGCCACCAAACAAAATACAAACACATTTTTTCTATCTTATGTTTTGTGGAAAGAAAAATTATTACAAGTTGTGTTTATACTAGGCCCTTTGTACAGCCTTCATTGAAAAGGATAGTTTTCTATCTCACTGTTTTCAAAATAAATTCCACAAATTAAAAAAATGAATAAAAATGAAAGTATATATCATGAAAAAAACATTGAAATTTATTGCAGCTAACCTATCTTACAATACTGAAGGATGTTCTTTAGTATGAAATAAAAGTCCACATTAAGAAACAAAGTACACTGTTGAAAGGAAATATATAGGTAAATATAAAATTCAGCATAAATTTATTTTGTGTTTATGACTTTTTTCTTCTCTCATCTGATTTCAATGATGACTGCACATGCAATAATTATAAAAATGTTGATAGGCTTATAAAATGTATAAATAGATAACGTGTATAACAATAAAAGTATAGAGAAGTTGGGAGGGAACATACTTGTAGAGAAAAGTTTTGTAATCCATTAAAATTGTTGGTTTGAATCAGAACTAGATTGCTTTAAATTAAGAACCTAATTATAATCCCACATCAAAAGAAAATTGGTAAAAAAATAAAAGGAACAAAAGAATTTTAAAGTTAAACTACAAAATATCTGCTTAACACAAAAGGAGGCAACAAGTAAGGAAGAAGGTAACAAAAAAAGCTTAGCACATATGCAAAACAAACAGTAAAATAGCAGGCATAAATCCTATCTTATTTATAATTACATTACATGGAAATGGTTTCAATACCCGAATCAAAACACAGATTGTCACAGACTTGATTAAAAAAACAGGATAGATAACCATAATAAACACTATTTGGATTAAAAAACATAAATACATAAAAGAATGGATAAAAAGATATAGCAGTAAAAAAGAAAAGCCTAGCACAAACCTTTAATTTCAGTGGCTTGGGAGGCTGAGGCAGGAGGATAATGAGTTCAAAGCCAGCCTCATGAACAGCATTGGTGAGGCCCTAAGCAACTCAGTGAGACCCTGTCTCTGAATAAAGTACAAAATAGGGTTGGGGATGTGGCTCAGTGGTTGAGATCCCCGAGTTCAATCCCTGATACTTCCAACCCCAAAGATATAGCAGTAAAAATAGAAAGCTGTATTTGCTTTATTAATATCAGAAATATTTGCGAATATCAGGAAGACAACAATTATAAATATATGGATATAACAACTGAATTTCAAAATATATGAAGCAAAAATGAACAGAACTGAAAGGAGAAATTTAATAATGGTTGGAGACAACAAAAACCCTCTTTCCCCTTGCCTCTCCTTTCATTTCCTCCTTTTTTAGACAGGGTCTTACTCTATAGCCCAGGGTGGCCTTAAACTCTTCCTGCCTCAGCCTCTTAAGTAGATGGCAAGGGCCACTACACCAAGCTTTATAATCTACTTCAGTGATCATCACAATAATAATCCAAAGACATCTTAAAGCCAAAGTTTTGGGGAATCAGAAAACAGATTAAAAATAAGTCATGTGGGTGGGTTGGGGGTGTGACTCAGTGGTAGAGCACTTAACTAGCATGTATAGGTCCTGGGTTCAATCTCCAGCACTGTAAAAAGAAATGGAGGTGGGTGGAGGGAAAGGGAGAGAGGAAAACGAGAAGGAAAAGGAAGAGAGAGGAGGAGAGGGGAGGGTAGTGGTGGGAGAGGAGGCAAGGGAAAAAGCAAAAGCCTGGCCAACATATGGAGGGAGGGAGGGAGGGAAGGAGGAAGGAAGGAAGGAAGGAAGGAAGGAAGCAAGGAAGGAAGGAAGGAGAAATATAAAAAGTCAGAAAGAAAGTGATGAGAGAGAAAGAAAGAAATATAGACAGAAGGAAAGCCAGCCAGCCAGCCATCTGGGGACAAAAAAGAATAAAATGAAGTAGAGCTAGTAATAGAATAGCATCAGACTGAAGGTCATCATACATCTGCTATTAAATCCCCAAAGCTACTTTCAATCTAAGTCTACCTTTATGAGGACAATACAAAGACAGTTCCAGGGCTGGAAGTATAGATCAGTGGTAGAGTACTTGCCTAGCAAGCATGACGCTCTGGATTCAGTCCCCAGAACCAAAGGAAAAAAGAAGTCTAGTTCCCACTCTTGAATTCTGTATTAGCTGTTTGTTGTTGCTATAACTAATTATGAAAAATTTAGTGGCTTAAAACAACATAAATTTATTATCCTAAAGTTCTATATATTAAAAGTCTAGCATGGGGGCTGGGGTTGTGGCTAAGAGGTAGAGCACTTGCCTAGCATGCATGAGGCACTAGGTTTGATCCTCAGCACCACATAAAAATAAAATAAAGATATTGTGTTCACCTATAACTAAAAAATAAATATTTAAAAAAAGTCTAACATGGGTCTCAGGTCATAAAATGTGGGTGATGGCAGGGCTGCACTCTTTTGGGATGCAGCAGGAGAAATCTGTTTCCTAGATTTTCTAGCTTCTAAAAGCTGCCTGGTCTGGGCATGATGGTGCATGCCTGTAATCCCAGCAGCTTGGGAGGCTGAGGCAGTAGGATCATGAGTTCAAAGCCAGCTTCAGCAACTTAGCGAGGCACTAAGCAACTCAGTGAGACCCTGTCTGTAAATAAAATACAAAATAGGGCTGGGGATGTGGCTCACGGGCCAAGTGCCCCTGAGTTCAATACTAGGTACCAAAAAAAAAAAAAAAAACTGCCTGTATTTCTTGGTTTGTGGCCTTCTTCCTTTGTCTTTAAAGACAGCAGTGTTACATCTCTCTAATACTATTTCCCTTATCATATATTTTCTCTAGTCTCCTTTTCTGTCTCCCTTTTCCACTTTGTTATTGTTGTTTAGTGCTGGGAATGGAACCAAGGTCTCATGCATGCTAGGAAAGTACTCTCCCACTGAGCCACATCCTCAGCCCTCCCTCTTCCTTTTTTAAGGACTCTGTTCTTACACTGGATGCACAATGATCTCCCTATCTTAAAGTCACCTGATTAACAACTTTCATTCCATCTGCGATCTTAATTTTCCTTTGTTATATAATCAAATCCAGTCATATGTTTTAGGTCTCTGAATATGGACATCTCTAAATGACCATTATTCTTCCCACTGCAAATTCTATTGAGATTTTGCACATGTCTATGTCTTTACAATATACTCTTCAAGCTCAACTTTGACTTGGTACATGTAACCAAAGAAGCCTGATCTGATTAGTACTTCTTTAATAGTTGACAGTGACCCTCTTTTTTCCAAACTGAATATATGTATTTTACTAATATTCTTATGAATAATAAAGATCTCTTACTTCAGATAAAGTATGATACTATTTTAAAGGTTATCTTTGTGATCAATGAACTCACCAAGAAACTCAAAATGCAAGACCAGTGTTTCTCATTGACTGATAACATTTCAAGGAAAATTCTGGAAAACAATACTGGGTTTCTAGCTGTTTGTTTTCTGAATGAAAACATAAAACAAACTCAGCAGTTCTCAACATCTGTCAATTATCCTCATCATTCCTACACAAAGAACATTTAACATAAAAAAATAGAGTAAAGAATTTTGGAATAATTTGCACTTATTTAAATAATTTTATCTTAATAAAAACCAAACTAAAATTTCATTCCTTTCTATTTTTGCTTAACTTTTGACCAGGTTTTTTTAAACATTTACTTTCATGATTGATTTACCTGTTGCAACCAAGGAATTGTCTGCATGTGTCAAGGATTGGGGGCGGCTGCGAAGTTTACTTTTGAAAGATCTTGGTCGACGTGGTGATGCAGGTGGCAAAGGAATCTCTGAAGATTGTGCTTTGCTATCTTTAATTGACCGAAGACGTTCATAGAGCTCCTGAAGCTCTTTATTCTGCTGGGTTTGAAGATTCACCACCTCCTGAATGTGTCTGAATGGAAACCATGCAGAAAGTAATTTAATGATTTTATACTAATAAAAGTAAAGGTTAACAAAATTTTAGATTAAGAATGGCAAAATATAGAGTATTTTCACTATTTTAGAATGGGAACTGCTTTCTGAAGCATAACCTTAAACTAATTAGTCCTAAAGAAAAACATGAACAAATTGACAAGAACAAATGTCTAAAATTTCAATATAGATAAAACAAAATTTAAATGTTAACAGTTTGATAACATCAACCTTTTCATTATTAAATGTTGAAAGTATAAATAGGAAGAAAATATTTATAATGTTAAAAGAAGAGTTAATATTCAGAATTTATAAATAGATCCTAAACATCAGTAAGAAAAAAAACAAATTGATAGAAAAACGGGCAAAGAATATGAAAAGGTGATTCCAATGAAGAGGAAATATAAATAACAATAAGTATGAGATTATGTTCAAACTTGCTATTAATCAAAGGCACAAAATATAACTGGGGGAAGAAAACATACATAGTTTGGGAGGCAGGGTCTTGCTATAAAGCCCAGAATAGCTTTGAAATTATAATCCTTCTGCCTCAGCCTCACAAAAGCCTGGGATTACAGGCACATGACATTGCACCCAGCTAATAAAATATTTTTAATTCATCTGAATATGAGTTTAAAAATTCATAATATCCAGTCTACAGTTGTTAAGATGTGGGTAAACAGATACTTTCAGATATTTTTTTGAGTACAAAATGGTATAGCTATATTGGAACACAGTTTTAACACTATCACTTTAAAATTTATAACATTTTAATTTAGCAATTACATTTTTTAGCTTATAATGACATTTATGCTAAATATGAAAATAGTTTATTAGCTGTGTTTTGTTTTTAAACAAGGAAGAAGCAGGTGTGACCTAAAGTCTTGTCCACAGGCCTGCCTGGTCAATGGGAGGTGATGTGTTTGCAGGACTGATTTAGTGTCTTTCCACGTGGTGTCCCTGCACCCCACTCTTGTCTCGCCTGCCTCCATCCTCACTGCTCCTTAGGGCTTCCTGTGTGCCCCACACTCTCCTATATCCTGCCTTCACAGAGCTCCTTCTCCTGGAACATTTTCCCTCTGCTTGAAGCCCATTCCAAGTACTGTCTGTGGCTTGGCCTCCAAGAGCTGGGAGTCATAGAAGTGCTCAGGGTTGTGCCATTCAGATGAACAGCAGCCATGGACCGAGTTTGTTTGAAGGGAGGCAATGGGTGATGAATGTAGCCTGTGGGGGCATTTGCTAGATCCCTACCAATGCTACCTGGAATGAGGGCCACTTTCAGGGGTGCCACCTCACTACATTGAGGGCATTCTGGCCTGTAAGGACCAGTAGCTCTGCTGGCTTCCCAGGAGAAACTCCTCAGTGGCATCATGAAGCAGTGGTGGAGTAAATTTCAGAAGCTTCTGAGGGAGAGTCCAGGGCCCCGATGTCACCTGGAGCAGGTGAGGGACTGTGGAGTTGCTGACCTTCATGTGGGATGTACATGGCTCTGACCTGTTCAGTTGCACCTTGGGGTCTTCACTGCTGTTTCCCCCAAATTCATGTTCTACAGAACCTCGGGATGCACCTTATTTGGAAATAGATGTGTGTAGCTGAGATGAGATCTACTGGGTTAGGGTGAGTGGACCCTAAGCCAATAGCCAGTGTCCTCATAAGAAGGTGATGTGAGGATAGAGACCCACAGGAAAGGCCATGTGCTGATGGAGGGACAGTGGCCTGGCCTGGCTGCAAGCCAAGGGACACCAAGAACTGCCTACATATCTATCATAAAAATTATTGTATAGCTATGTAAAACATACAAAATATATTTATTTCAGCATTGCTTATATAAGTAGAACTTAAGGCAGACTCAGTGATGCATATTGTTCATCACAGCACTTTGGGAGACTGAGGCAGGAAGATTCAAGTTCAAGGCCAGCCTTAGCAACTTAGTGAAACCCTGTCTCAAAAAAAAAAAATTAAAAAAGGACTAGAGATGTAGCCCAGTTTTTTAAATTATTAAAAAACAAAACAGATTTCAGATAACACTGAAATAGTGCAAAGGAGGGATTAAAAAATATATACCCATATATTATACCCATGTATTATAATAGGATACAACAACTTTGAAAAAACAATTAGATATGATGCAGATATGAATATCTACAGGCAACAATGTTAATTCAAAAATTGTGAAATAATGTGAATGTTATGATCCTACTTCTGTAAAAAACAAAACCTATATCTGTAAATCCACAAAAAAAGAACCAAAAGATATACTAAATAATTCACAGTAGTTGTCTTTGAGAAATGAGACTGTGGCATGAGAAATGGAAAACTGTTTTTTTTAACTGTTGTTTGAAAATGTTTCCATTTATCACTGTTAATGCATAAAATCCATAACTATAGTTTATTTAAAAAAATTTCAATCTAAAAACTAAGCTTACCATGTGGGCATAGAGGATAATATACCTTGGAGACAATATCCTGGGGTCTAGAATATTTGTGAACAAATGTAATGCCAAAAGCATATTGAAGAAAAAGTAGAAAATATATTATGTCTTAAGGTCCCTTCCAGGTCTTGGGTTCTATAAGGTTAGGAGAACCCATGTCTCATACTAAACTAATGTACTCATAAGGGGCTGAGGTGTAGCTCAGTGGTAGAGTGCTTACCCAGTACATGTAAGCACCACATAAAAATAAATAAATTAAATAAAGGTATTGTGTCCACCTACAATTAAAAAAAATACTTAAAAAAATAAATAAAGTACTCACAACCATTATAGTCAGCTAAAAAAACCCAACAGTTTAAGAATAGTTTAAAATAATCATAAAAACATCATTGAAGGGCTGGGGATGTAGTTCAGTGGCAGAGTACTTGTCTGGCATTTGTTGGGCCTTGGGTTTGACCCCCAGCACCACAAAACAAAACAAAAAAATCCCAGCAATATAGTACTGATATCACAAGTATTAAACCACTTTAAAAAGAACTATTTTATTATAAAAGTATAGGTGTACATGTACTGCATAATACTTATTGTATAGTAAAGTTGATATATACATAATGTGTAGTAAAGTAAAACCTATGTAAGTATATTTTGTGTGCGTGTGGTAGTAGGGAGTAAATGTAAGGCTTCATACATCCTAGGCAAGTACTCTATGACTGAGCTACATCCTTAGCCTTTTATTTTGAGATAGGATTTCACTAAGTTGTTCATGCTGGTCTTATCATCCTGCTGCCTGAAACTACCAAGTCACCAGCATTACAGGTATGCACCACTGAGCCTGGCTCTGCATATCTCTGTATATATAGTTTAAAAATAGAACAACAATCTTCCATTGATGAATGTTTAAAACATTCTCAAATTCCTTCTAGGCTCCAGTCAAAAACAAAACACAACACAACCACAGAAATTAGTTGAACAGAAAATGGTATTATAATTATCTCATTGACATGTGAAATTTGAGGTTTGGATTTTTTTCTTTTGGGCAAGGGCTTAAAAACTGGGAAAATTCCAAGGATTTTAACCAGCTTTAGTTCTTAAAGCACTAAAACATAGTACTCAATTGAACCATTAATCAAATATGTAAGAATCTGGCTAAAATCTAAGTTTTTTCCATACCTTTATTTTTCTCTCCTCTCTGATTCTTCCTGCTTTCAAGTTTTATGTCCCATAACAGAATAGAAATTCACTAAAGCAAAAGATACACTAAAAATTGCTTGTTAACGGGGTATGCTAGTGCAGGCCTATAATCCTAGCAACTCAGGAAGCTGAGGCAGGAGGATCCCAAATTTGAGGCTAACCTGGGCAACTTATCAAGACCCTGTCTCAAAATAAAAAATAAAAGTACTGGGGATAGAGCTCAATGATACAGAGCTATGGGTTCAATCCCCAGTACTGCCCATCCCCCAAATTGTTTTCAATTTTTCAAAGTAATGGCATCAAGCCATCAATAAGAGGCAAGTAATTAATTTGAGAATGTATATATAGTGGGTTACTATGGAACTGAAAAAATTTAATAATGCAGAAATAGTTCTAAAACACAGTGAAATGGTGAAAAAGCAAGATAAAATAGTTTGTATTATAATTTACTCTTTGGGGGAAAATGAAGAACAAAATATGTATACATTTGTTTGTGCATCCATAGACAAACTATAGATATACCAGAAACAGGTAATATTTGTTTCCTCTAAGGAGAAAAATTGGGTAGTTTGGGTACAGTGGTAGGAGGGAGACCCAACTGATTAAACCTTTTGAATTTTGAAACATGTGAACAGAGTAAGAATATGGCAACTTTATATTAATTTTTGAAAATATATAACCTAGTTTATAACTCTAAATACAAAACATTGACAAAACATTATCACAATATCATTAGTGAAGGTTGATAACCTCATTTACCAAATAACAAACTTGACCTTACTTACCAAATATGTAATTAGACAAGAATAATTATAAAATCTTAATCCAATAGTCCTGATGGATAAGGATTTAGAAAGTAAGCAAAAAGAATAAACAGCCAATTAAAATTAGTCTCCAAACTATGAAAATATTTTGTATGCAAGCATTTTAACATTCATAAAGGTCTTACATTACCATTCTTTGTAGTTTTTAATCATAAAAAGATTATAATCATTAAAATGTCACCAATACTAAATTAGCCACAAATCAAATTTTAAGCTCTATAAAACCCAAGACAATCGGATTTGTGACAGAACAGAGTCCTTACTTTTCTCGTAATCTTTGAAGTTCCACTTTCAAGTCTTCATCCTCTATTTCTGACTCATCATCACTGCTCATTGGGGAAGATGGAGAATAGAAGAGTGAACTCTGCGTTTGAGCATAGGCTTGTTCTTCATGAAGGGGTAAGCCCTGATCACTTTCTGGACCAGTTTTTGCCACTGTCTTCCCATTATCAGCAAGAGTGGCTGAAAATTCACTAGCAGAACTAGGCTGTTTCTCAGCAGGCAGTATCTCTCTCTGTTTAAGCAACAGTTCAGATCCAGATCGCATGCTACTTCCCGTGGCTGAAGTTTCTTCTAATTCTTTTTCTGGGGTCACTGAAGATACATCAGTCTCACAAGCTATGCTGAAAGACAGGAAGTTGTCTAATTGTTTGGAAATCCCTTTATCTTCTTTAAAGGTTTCATGAAGAGTCTGTAACTTCTGAGAAGAGACTGAAGTCTGAGGATTGTGCACGGCAGGTTCCACTTCTACTAACTGAGACTTTGCAGTTTCACTAAAGGCCAGAGCTTCTTCACTGGACTGATTCGATATTTCCTTGAATGCTGATCTGTGTTCTATTCCAAAAGATGTCACTTTCAATGATTGCTGCTGAGGAACTGTAATCACCTGAGACATAAAAAGGTGTAAGTGTCTAGCTCCACCTAAGTAAAGGGTAACTACATGAAAAAAATTCATCAATATACAGCATAGACAAATGCTACAATGCACATGTATTGCTATTACCAAAATCTGAAAGTTCCTCTCTATTCCCCATATCATCTTTTAATTGGACACCTTGTGTAAAGACAGTTGATTTCATATTATTCAAATAAAATTCCACAATTAAAACTGCTGAGATTCTAAAGGGCATGAGATTAAATTCATAAAATAGATGACACAACCGCCCACCAAAACCGATGACTCATTTGTGTGATCCAGTCCAATTACTAAAATCCCCACTTCATTAGACTCACCTTTACTGATGGCTTCAAAAGGTGAGAGGATATGTATAACATGACCAAAAAAGTATGATCTAAAGACCAATCTGCAAATGTTTTTGTTTTCTGCAGTGCTGGAGATCAAATCCAGGGTCTCACTTATTTGAGGCAAGTGCTCTATCACTGAGCTACCTACGTTCACAGCCCTGCTGTTACCTTTCATAAGGCCTTTGTAGATTAAGGATTCAACCAAAGACACAAACCTGAAACCGACCCCGCTGAAATGATCCACGCATCGTTTTACATCTACTCAAAGCCCTAGTATCAGCGGTGGACTCCCGTGTCAGTGGAATGGGATCAGGAGCAATTGCTGATCTTATATCTTCTGTTTCCACTGTAAGTTTTGTCAAATTGTAAGCAGAAAAGAGAAAATTGTTAAGACTAAATTTGTTTACATTATCAAAAAATGAAGAAAAGCAGAAAAAGTTTAACTCCTGCTAGACAATTAAAAGGTGTTAATGTAATAAGCAAAATTGTATAAGTCCCTAACTCTAATCATACATTGCAAGATTTATCCCAAGACTTAGTATCTATATGAAATGAATAACCAGAAAACCAAATTAATTACTAAAGGAAAAAATAAAATGGCAATGACATTAATGGGACATGTCACATACATGGGCTATGTGGAAAAAGTGACAAGATTTGTGTATGAACAACCAAAAAAAAAAAAAAAACGTAAGTAAATGAAAAGTGATGTTACCTAGTCTATGTCCCTGACTGTAAGCACACTACCTTGATGGACTTTTGATCTCTTGAAAAAGCTGGTTGACTGCCGTAGCCTGTATGCCCAGCTTTTTAATTTGCGAGTCCAGGATTTCTTGCTAATAGGATTTTTGAGACTAGGACAAGTAAAGCTTAGGCCAAAATATCCACCTCCTGTCTGCAGATGAATGGCTCCACCGCTTGACACAGCAGCAGGATAGGCCTCTGGATCCCCTGGAAGTGAAGCATCTGGGGACATCTCCTAATGGAGACAAAAAATAAGAAAACACAAAGTAGCAGTAATTTAGTTAAGTTGGAGAATTTTTTTTTTTTTTTGCCTAGTGCAATTTCTTATGTGAACTAATCATTAATCATAAATAGGATACTTCCCAGTTACGCAGGAGACTAAACAGGAAGACTGCAAATTTGAGGTCAGTCTCAACAACTTAGTGAGACCCTATCTCAAAATACAAAAAAAAAAAAAAAAAAGAGGTGCTGGGAATGCAGATCAGTAGCAAAGTGCCCCTGGGTTCACTTCCCAGTAATGGAAAAAAAAATAGGATACTGTATACAATTATATTATAGTACTATATCAGACTGAACCTGAAGTACTCAATTTATAGAAATTAATCCTTTCATTTCTTTCTCCATTTTTTGAGGTATTGGGGATGGTACTCAGGGCCTTGTGCATACCAGGCAATCATAATACTACTAAGCTGCATTCCCAGTTGCCACCATTTCTTTGAAAACATCATTTAAACTTCAGATGAATATAAGAGAAGACTATTAATCTTCCACAGAATATTTTTCATCATTATGTCACCTTTGAAAACTGAAAATTAAATTATTTCCTTTGTATGTACCAATTTACTAAAAAGATTACTGAAATCCCATGCAATTAAAATGAAATGTTCATTTGTTATCATATTATTTAAGAGTTAAAAATACCTGACATATGGGCTGGGGTTGTGGTTCAGTGGTGGAGTGCTTGCCTAGCATTTGTGAGACACTGGGTTTGATTCTCAGCACCAAATAAATAAATTAAATAAAGGTCCATTGACAACTAAAAATATATTTAAAAAAACAAAATATCTAAGGCACTTAGAGTAACAGAGAAATATCAATGAATCAAGCTTTTTACTTTATGTAAGCACACAGAAATTTACAAAGAAACACAAAATTACTTTAAATTCATCCTCTAAAAATTGTTGTTAACATTAGGCCATGCTAGCTATGAAAATCACTCTTCTTGTCTTCCTATATACTGCCCCCTAAAACCAGAATTAACTGTTGTATCCAATTATCTTAAAAATATATTTCCTATAATAATTAATACAAAATTAATAGACACAACAAAAAATACTTTGGGAAACAAGAATGGTCAGTATAAATCTAGAGGATTAAAGGCAAACATAAAAGCACAAAGAATGGGCAGGGCACAGTGGCACACACCTGTAATCCCAGTGACTCAGGAGACTGAGATAGGAGAATCACAAATTCAAGGCCAGCCCCAAGAAATTAGTGAGACCCTGTTCCAAAATTAAAAATACAAAAGGCTGGGGATGTAGCTCTGTGATAGAGTACTTCTGAGTGGGTTCAATTTCCAGTACCATAAAACAAAACAAACAAATAAAAAAAATGGGATTTAGCATTTGTCTGCAGGAAGATGTTCTATATGACAGTAAGCATACTGTCTTAGATAAGCATTATTTGACTTAGGGCAGATTATAATGAATTCTGAACAATCAGCTTTTATTGTCCAAAGTCCCAGTTTGGAATGGTAATAATGTTACTTCAATGAGGAAGTGAAATAACTCTCAATATTACAATTTAGACACGTTGAATTGATTCCACTGAAATTACAGATTTTTAATGTATAGTAACTGGAACAAGATGGCATATTTAATATATGTTCTGGCCTCCCATATCAATCCAAATACCTAGATAAAACAGGAAAAATAGATATAGACACAAACATATATGACTGAAGGAATAAAAAACAGATCATGTCCTATGTAGGAACTGTTTCAAAATGCTGCAAACTCCAGTGACATACATGAGCCGCAAGAATGAGCTGTGGTTCACCAAAAGGATGAGTGCTTGGCTAAAATGCTTATAAAACTCTACAAAATCTATCACCTATTTGTCTCATCAAAATTATCTCTCAACATCCTTCTACTTAAGTGGCCTTCTTTTGCTTGAACAAATATCTATCTGTTAATGTCATTACTATATACAAGTATTTCCCTGGCCACTCTGTGTAGAGTAATCCTCTAAGCTATCATTACCCTTTTTTATAAAAATTTTATTTGTCTAGGGGCTGTTTCCCCCACTAGAATGTGAACTCCACAAAAATAGAGGTTTTTATTTATTCACTGCTCAAAAGATACTCACTGTATTGAAGAGTGCATTTGTTGGGATACCAAAGAGGAACAGACACTCAGCTCTGCCCCTTCCCTTCCCATCTCGACAACAAACAAAAGACAGTAGAACATCTACCCTTCAAATAAGAGTAGAAATGGAAATGGTATGTGGCCAAGAGAAAGGTCAAAAGGAGACAATATTTTGGAGGAGGGTAAACTCTCCTGCCTTCAGAGAGTAGCTACTGGGCTATCCTCCAGGTAGCATTAGAGTCAAGTGATAATATCCAATGCCAGAAAGGACAACCCATGTTTTTCCTCCAATTATTGGAGGAAGGCTAGCATTTGGTGATTATGCATAGCGTTTATAGACAAATGAATAAGGAATCTTGCAAGAGAAAAAGAAAAAAATGCACACATACTAAGAATCACCACTATGGAAATCCAACACTATAAGAAATACTAAATTGAAATAGAGGAAAAGCCAAGGAAATGGCATTAATAACATTGGGTAAAACCTTCATATTGTCAGAAAGATGTGTGAATATACAGTCATGAACTATACAACATTTAGGTCAAGAATGGATAACATATATGACAGTGGTCCTGTATAATGGAGATACTCTGGAAGCTGACGCAGGAAGACTACGAGTTCAAGGCCAGCCAGAGAAAGTTAGTGAGACCCTGTCTCAAAACAAACGAAAAAATATTCATGTTGAAAATTCATTCCCATTGTGTCATATGTGGGGGTAGAAAAATGTAGGGCTTTTAACATGTGATTGAATCATGAAGGGTCCACCCTCTTAGATGGATTAGTCTATTCATAGATTAATGGATTTGAGAATTGATGGGTTATGTGAAAGATGCTTCATTATAAAAGCAAGTTCTCTCTGGCTTGCTCTGCCTCACCATGTGATGCTATCTGCCATATCATGATTCAGCAGAAAGGTTCTGACCAAATGCTAAGCATTATATAGATATCTGTATTTCCACTTCTGTGAGACATATGTCTAAATGATTTGACTATTCTTTTACTGAGTGGTCTGATCTTTTCTTTCTGATTTGTAAACATGATTTATATATTCAACTATTAATCTTTAGTACATTTTCTAAGGAAAAAAACAAAACTTGGCTGAGTGGTGGTGTATCCCTGGAATCTCAGCAGCTCTGGAGACTGAGGCAGGAGGATTAAGAGTTCAAAGCCATTCTCAGCAATGGTGAGGTGCTAAGTAACTTGTGAGACCCTGTCTCTAAATAAAAATACAAAATAGGGCTGGGGATGGTACTCAATAGTTGAGTGCCCTTGAGTTCAATCCCCAGTACCCACCTCCCCCCCAAAAATTTTTTTTTAATTTTGGGAAAAAAATATGTGCAAAAATAGACTGCTATGGAAAAGAAGCCAAGAATAAGAGTGATTTCAAAACTCAGATTCATGATTGTCAAATGAAAAATTAACTGGAAAAGGCTAAGTAGCAGGATAGTAACCTGACATACTTTTGAAAATGAAGTTATGCCTGAGATCATAAATTAAAAATGAGAACACACTGTTAAGAGATATGGAGGATATATCCAGGAGACTGGATATCTATAACACTTCTAAATTGAAGCCAGAAAGACAATGGAAGGAAAAATAAGACAATAATAAAGTTTACTAGAAATAAAAAAGACACTAATCTTCAAAATCAAAAGGCCATCAAAGTTATGTTCACAATGAATAGAAAAAAAGTTTTATATCCTGTGTTTTATAAGTCACTAACCACATGTAGCTGTTCAAATTTAATTTAAATTAAATTAAAACTTTAAGCCCTAAGTTACACTAGTAACATTTTATGTGCTGAATAGTCATATGTGGTTTAGTGATTATCATATTGGACCACATAGATATAGAACATTTCCACATTGTGGAAAGTGGTCTAGAATAAAAACAAGCCACCTACAAATGAATGATAATCAAATTAACATTACTTTCATCAGCAACACAGGAGGCTAAAAGACAGTAAAACAATGTCTTCTAAGTTCTGAGAAGAAAAGATTTTGATCCTACCGTTCACTCTTAATCAAGTGTGAAGCAAAATTAAGATATGTTAGGAAATGCAAAAACAACAGCAAAGACAAATTATATAACCATGTAACATATCTGAAAACATTACTCACAGAAGTATTTCAGGGGAAAAAAGAATAATTTGAGGACAACAGAAACAGTGACAACTAAATATGATTCAGATATAGCAATGGACACTGAAACAAATAAAATAATCCATTTGACCTTGATGCTTAAAATAATCTCCTCTGAGCAACAAAATTTAAATGATAGAGAAAAACATTTCATTTCTTATGGTTCTAGTCATTTGTTGTTATTGTATCACGCACATGATCATAATATAAATGCATATTTATTGATTTTCAGTTTTTTGGTACTGGGGTTGAATCCAGGGGTGCTCTACCACTGAGCTACATCCCTATTCCTTTTTATTTTTATCTGATATATAGTCTCACTAAGTTGATGAGGATGACCTCGAACTTGCAATCCTCCTCAGCTTTAGCCTCCTGAGGAGCTGGGATTACAGGCATGTACCATGGCAACTGGCTTTGGTTTTTATTCATAGAGTCAAACCCTCACTCTTGTAGCAGCAAGTAGATGGGTATTACCTAAAATTACCAAATCAAGAAATATATACCATATACACACACAAAAAAAAAATTTACAAGTTACTAATGGTGATGACCACAGAATTAGAATTGGGAACATCAAAGGGTTCAGGGAATAAGAGGTAGCAATACAACAGTTAACTATTTATTTGAATGTAGTGCTGTGGATCAAACACAGGGTTTCATATACACTAAGCAAGAATGCTACATCCCCAGTCAACAGTTTACTTTAAATCTATAATCTTTATGAATGACTTTTGTGTTTACTTGTTACCTTTTAAATTTAAAATTACTAGTTTATCAATAAAACTAATTATATCTATTCAATAATTTATTATGCAGTTACTTTTAATAGTTAAAAAGGTGGAACTATATGTAATGACACTGATGCATGTCCATAATTAAAGATAATGCAGAGCAACATATGTGAAGTATTTGTACATAAATATTTAAAATAAGTTGCAGAGCATGATATATTTCTGAAGAAAATATTATGATATATATGTAAACATATTTGTGTAAGCTTAAGAAAAGTCAATAAGGATAAGCACCAAATTACTAGTGTTTACCTCTGAGATTTGAAGGGCTAGGAAAGGGAAACTAGGGCTGGGGGTATGGCTCAATGGTACAGTGCTTGCCTTAGGTACAATCACAAGTAACACAAAATAATATAAAATTGAAATGAGGAGAGAAAAAAAGGAAAATTAGTGTTCCTACATTACATAGGTGAGTACCCTTAATTTGTAAATCTAAAATTCAAAATGCTCAAAAAAAGTCTTAAACTTTCTGAGCCCCAGCATGATATCACAAGTAGAAAATTTCACATATGATTTTATATAATGTGGCTCAATCCATGTTTTTTACACTACATACTGGAAAAAATTGTCTATGGGCTCTGTGTATATGGTATACATGAAACATAAATGAATTCTGTGTTTAGATTTGGGTCTCACCCACAAGGTATCTCATTAAACAAATATTCTAAAATCTAAAAAACTCCAAAATCTGAAACACTTTTTTCAACCAAGGCCTTTTGGATACAGGATACTCAACCTGTATGTATGTGTTTATATATACTTTAAGTATAGGCCTGGCATGGTGGTACAAACCTATAATTTCAGTAAGTTAGGAGGCTGAAGGAGGAGGATCACAAGTTCAAGGCCAGCCTCAGCAACTCAGGGAGACCCTGTCCCAAAATGAAAACAAATAAAAATGGCTGGGGATGTAGCTCAGTGGTAGAACACTCCGGGGTTTAGTCTCTAGTACCCCCCCCCTCAAAAAAAAGTCATGGGACTATGGATGACTTTTACTTTTTTTCAAATAAATTAAACCTATCAAATCACGTTTAAATTAAACTATGAAGTAGAAATCAAAAAGTAAGTTCTTTCTATTAGAATCTTCTATAAATCAGAGGGTTTTTTTTCCCCCTATCATTAAAACAAATATAGACACTGCTTGCAAGTTCCTAGTTACTTCACTAGAGGGCTCTCTTACCCATAGTCTACCAGGTCTACTGAGAATTTCTGAGCACCTGTAGCATAGGTCATGGCATCCTTAAATACCTGTGTCCTTAAAATCTCATTTCAAAACACAGAATTTTAGAAGAGAAGGCATTTCTTTAAAATCATAAGGAAACAAAAAGACTGATACTTACATGTAAACACAATTCGCTGGGTACAGAAGTTATCACATTCAGGTCCCTTTTGAACACTGATATGTTAGCAGGCTGACTTGCAGCCACATTGGACAGAATCTTAGAGCCCATATGTTGGAAATTAGGGGATTGTGCAGGGCTATCTTGAATTCCACAGTGACTGATGGCTATGACTTCTGGCATTGGACAGGAGAGTGTATCTTCAGCAGAGGAAGAAAAAGGAGAGTCTATGCTTTGCGTGTCCTTCTGGCTCTCAGGATAGAGGCTAGAGATGCTGTGTTCCTGATAGAGCAAGTTTCTTAATTTTTCATCCAGAGTTTTAATTCGGTTGTCTGCAAACTCCATTTTTGGAGGTCTTTCCCCATCTGATTCTAGGACAGTAGTGGGTAAAAGGGTAGTAGATTCAAGGCTAGGAGTCTGAGTGGAAACGACTCCTTTTGGAGAATTTGCTTCAGTGTTCACTATGTTTTCTCCTTCTTGGGAAATAAACTCTGCATCCATAGTTGGCTGCTGTCCTGGTAAGAACTGAGGTTTTTGATCAGATACAAATGTTGAGGTTGTAACAGCATTACCAGCAATCTGAGTTGATTTGCCACCATGAGCTACAAGCACATCAGCCTGACTGGCAGGTGGGTGACATGAATATACAGGTATGAACATGCCTGTTTGGCCAGTGAGTCCCTCACATTCAATTGGAACTGAAGTAGTGGAATAAGTGGAACTACTGGTAACTGGTGTCATTATCTGCCTGTTATCTTCCACTTGAAAAAGTATAGCTGGCTGTTCACTTTTCACACCAGCACATTCAGAAATCTTACCATCAACTACATCCTTGTTTTCTGATTTGGAGGTAAAAAGTGCATGTTGGCATGGATTATTTTCTATACTGAGCAGTGTGTCCTGTGATATTTCCTTATTATTTTTACTTCGTGAACCTGGAACAATAACAAAGTAAAAGTTAATTACATGCTGATGAATGCAAAGCATAGACTAATACAAAAGTTCAAAAGTGACAGGAAAAGCAAGGGACAAATGAGAACTAATATGAGAGAGAATATGCTTATAAACAAGACTCAAAATATCAAACAATCCAAGCTGGAATGAAAAAAAACCAACTTTGCTTTTTTATAAATATTAAATAAAAATATTTTAAGTTATACACTGTCTTCAAATATGCTTATGAAAATTGTTGTAAAATATTCAAGAAATAAGTTAAAATATGGTATATGTTTTACATTCATATCCTCCAAATCTGGAAAAACCTGGTAGTGAATGAGAGCTTACTAGGAAATGGATGTAGCCCAGTGACTGCAGCCATTGAAGGCTGAAGAGAAGGAGGAGACTGAGCCTCTCGGTTTCTTATTGTCTGATTGATACAGAATCGCCACCGACCAACTGGAGATGACTGAGGAGCAGATTCATCTGTAGAAATAATTAGCAAGAAATCAATGTGCCAAGCAAATGTCAGTTCATTTATCTTATTGACTTAATAAAACTAATTTCAAAAATGAATCTGTCTTGGGGTTGGGGTTATGGTTCAGCAGTAGAGTGCCCACGTGTGAGGCACTGGGTTTGATCCTCAGTACCACATAAAAATAAATAAATAAACAAAACAAACAAACGAACAAATAAATAAAGGTATTGTGTCCAACTACAACTAAAATAAAAATATATTTTTAAAAAAATTATCTGTCTTATACCTATATTCCCAATAGTAATAGGATAAGTATAATAGTAGTGCTTATCATAGCTGTATAAGTCTATCATTAGTGGAATAAAATCAAGATAAAATATGACTATTAAAACATGAGGCAAACTTAGAATACAATGATTTTAGTTAAGAAACTTTCTGTCCATCTTATATATGAAAAATCAATTGACCAGTTTTGTTTCAAACAGGCCATTAAAAGTCATCATACTGTGATTGCTTTTCTGGTAACATACCATGTGACAACTCAGAAATAAATTAATCAGATAAAGAACCAAAATTTGGAGGAAATTTGGTGAATGAATTTTTATCTCTGAGATACAAGGTCCTTTCAAAGTGTTAGAAAATAACAATTTATCAAATTACTTTATTGGCTAACATTTTTCTCCAAGAGGGGATATAATCTAAAGTTCCCAAATGTCTTATTTCAAAAGCCAAATGGTAAATGTAATTAAATATACTTACTGCTGGTTTGGGTAGAAGCAGAATTTATCTGGACTTGTTCAGATGATCCTGTCTGAATTAAAAATGAAAAGATAAATAAAGAAGTTCCTGACACGTATTCAAAAAGACCCATTTACTAAACAATTGTTCTTACTTGGTTACTGTTAGATTCCAAGGTAACAGAGTCAAGTCCAATGACTTTTTCTGCAGCAGAGTGGACATGAAGGATCTCCTGGGCTTGAACTACGATAGCCCTCAATTCTTCTACAAATTTTTCTTTCTCATTTTCCAGCACAAAGTTATCTTCAACCTGCCCCACAACAAAAGTCAGTCTATTCATGAGAATGAATTTAGTTTCTTCAAAATTATAATACTGTATTAATGGTGGTTACCATAAAGAAAAACATAAATAGAGTATCTAAATCCAAGTGTCAAAACAGAATAAAGGCTAGCAATAAAACACCACATAGTACATTCAATTATTCTTTTTATTTAATTTTTATTTAGTTGTCAGTGGACCTTTATTTATTTACTTATTTATTTTTTATGTGTTTACAACAAAGATGTCCAAAGTAAAAGGTTTTCAATCACAAATCATAAAATTCATCATCTTTGGAGATGTTTCATAACAGCCCAAAGACCTCTAATTGGGCTAAGTGTACATGGGAATTATGAAAGTATAGTCATCTCAAAAGATACTCTGCTAAGTAAGAGGCATAACTAACAAAATTAACTTTTAAAATGTTTATTTTGCCCGGGTGCAGTGGTGCATGCCTGTAATCCCAGTAGCTCAGGAGGCTGAGGCAGGAGGATTGTAAGTTCAAAGCCAGCCTCAGCAATGGCAAGGCATTAAGCAACTCAGTGAGATCCTGTCTCTAAGTAAAACATTTTTAAAAAGGGCTAGGGATGTGACTCAGGGGTTAAGTACCCCGGGTTCAATCTCTGATAACATCCCCCCCCCAAAATTTATTTCCACTTCACCAGAAAAGCAGAAACAAATGCATTATGCACTCTCTTACTACCCAGATCCCATACCTATCCAATAAAGGAGAAAAATACTAACTTAAGCCTACTAATTCAAAGAAAATATTAAAAAACTAAATGAAATGAAGAAAATAACTTGAACATTTACATGGAAGATGTTAGATGAGTAGTCTGCACATTAGAAATTACCTTGGTAACTTGACAAACTATTGATGTTTAGGCCTCAACTTCAAAAGATTCTGATTTAATCAGTAACCCACACAATGGAATTATTTTTATAAAGTTTATTAGATTATCTCAACATACAGGCAAAGGGAAAAAATATTGATCCACAATAAAAGTCTTTCATATTTTTCAAATGAATATGCTGAAACTAAATAAGATGCAGCAGCTTATCCCTGATCAGAACCTCTGTATAAATTTTAAAACTAACCATGCCCTTTAAAGAGAGATGGCTCCAAATAAATATAGAGAAGATAAGAGACAGATAATGTTGAAGGGAAAATAATTTGTATTTACAATACTTACCATATAGTCTGCAATATCTTCTGGTGCATCACCATCAACATCAAACTTGAAGGTGACCATCTTATTGTTGTGTGTTTCCAGCTGGCACTCTACCATGTTGTCTCCAGAGGTTGACACCTATGAATACATATTTCACCAGTTTAAGATTCACTGTCTTCACTTTGTAAATTGTACACAGACTATCTAGGATGAGTTCACATATAATAAATGCTGAAAATGACTTATACATTAACACTCTAAAAACATTCTATTTTCCCTTTGTGAAATACTACATAAAGAGCCATCCTATGACAAATATAACAGGTACAAATTACTCAGTAAAATCTTAAATGAGAGTGGGATGCAGTGGTTCACCTCCATAATCCCAGCTACTTGAGAGGCTAAGTTAGCAAGAATGCAAGTTTGAGGTCAGCCTGAGCAAGTTAGCAAGATATTTGAGACAATAGTCTCAAAAAAAAATTTGAATTAAAAGGGCTAGGATGTAGCTAGGTGGTAGAGCATTTACCTAGTATGTGCAAGGCCCTGGGTTCAATCCCCATAGTTACAATAAATAAAGAAATAGAAATGTGATCAAGTAGGAAAGAAAATGGAACAAAACTCTTACAAAAAAGCAAAAAAAAAAAGGTTATAATAGTCACTATAGCTATATGCAATGCAATATCTAAATCCAGTCACTCATTTCCAAAATTCTCTTAATGTAGCAACATGTATTTAGAAATTTTAGAAATGTTTTTATGTGCATATGCTAGAAATTGAACCCAGGGTCTTGCATATGCTAAGCACATGCTCTATCACTGAGCTACACCCTCAAGCCTCAAATTTTCACTTTTTAAACCACTAATCTATTTCTAGGGATCTATTTATTCTAAGGAAATAATCGGGGACAGATATAAAGATTTATGTTCTAGGATATTTGCTGCAGAGAATGAAGACAAAGTTAGGGAAAAAGACTGGCAAAAACAGAACAAATTTTAAAAGTACTACAACGAAAGGAATGCTAAAATTATATTTGCATACAAGGGCCTATCTAATGTAGACATTTAAAATGTTATCGAAAACTTACTTAGTTTGTGCAATCTGCATTTGGGGTAAAATTGGGAGTTCATAACCCACTTCAATCTAATGTATGAAATATGATATGTCAAGAGCTTTGTAATGTTGTGAACAACCAATAAAAAAAATAAAAAATAAAAAAAAACTTACTTAGTGATATAGGAATATATACATAATAAGTTAAGTTTTGAAAAAGACAAAATAGTTTGAGGATATAGCTCAGTGGTAGGGTATTGCCAAGCATGCATGAGGCCCCAGGCTTGATCCCCAGTGCTGCCAAAAAACAGAGGGGATATAAATTTGTATGTAGGCTTCAGCAACCAACTGAAATATATATTGTACTGGTTACAGATACAGACTTTGAAGTCTAATCTGGGTTAAGATCTGACTTTATCACTTACTAGTTGTATGACCTTAAGCAAATTATCTCTCTTGACATTCTCATTTCTTAAGAGTATATTATCACCTATTATATAGAGTGTTTGCATTACATGAAAAATTTATGCATAAAACTGGGCACAGTGACACAAGCCTATAATCCTAGAGACACAGGAGGCTGACACAGGAAGACTGCAAGTTCAAGACCAGCCTCGGCAATTTAGTGAGGCCCTAAGCAACTTAGTGAGATGCTGTCTCAAAATTATAATAAAATAAAATAAAGGTCTGGGGATGTGGCTATGTGGTAAAGTGCCTCTTGGTTCAATCCCCAGTACACACACAAAAAAATTAATACGTAACCTTTGGGGTGTCTATTACAAAAGAATTCAATAGTTTTGCTATAATTACTAGTACTATCACAATCTTAATGTAAAATGCTAAATATACATGTAGAATAAAGAAATGAAAACAAATTAAAAAATGGTAGAAGCTAGCTCTCAGTGGTAGTTATAAGTGATTTATTTTCTGCCTTTTATTCTCCTTTATTCCCCTTTAAAAATTAACACAAAACATTCCTATCAGAAAATTTTTAATGGAGGAAAAGTCAGCTTACAGAGGGTTTCATAATATTCTACACTTATCACAGTACCATCCCTCCCGACTCTCGAAGACCTCTACATGCACTACAACCAAACCATATCAACACACTGACCTGAAGGACAGTAAGTTGAAATTTAGTCCCCTTCTCTGGTCGAGGACAGGAAGCTCTTCTCTGTTTGATCCGATCCTGTTTGCCATTTCCACCTGGGTTATCAGAGTTATTGGTGTTTTCCTTCACAGCTGCCACATCTTGATTCAAGCTAGTAAAAAAAAAAAAAAAAAAACAGTAACTCATTCCAATCCTGATAATAAAAATCTAACAAAAAAGCTTTTGATTATTTAATTGTAAATAATGTTTAAGGAAAATCAATAAATAATATAATATCTTTTAAAAAGTTATAATTGCTAAATTCTGTGAATATACTAAAAGTTACTGAATCATACACTTTAAAGATAAATTGAATTGTATGCAAATTATATATAAATAAAGCTATCTTTTAAAGTTATGAAAAATGTGATTATATCATATATATTTGGTAAAAATGAAATTAGAGAAAACATTGCCAGTTATAGACCTTTGTGAAACCTTTTAAAAGAGAATGCTCTTGATAAATTTTATCTTCTTTGTTTTGGGGTTAGTTCATTAACATGTTCAAATAAAACTTCTAAACTGAAAAATCTCACTCAAAATAAGGGAGAGACCTCAATAAGGATAGACAGACCAAATGTGAGAGACAAAAATAATGCAAGAGGCAGAAAAATAAATGAAAAGGAATCATATAACAATAGTGGAACACCTGGAGAAGTAGCTCATAAATAGAGCACGTGCCTAGTATACAGAGGCACTGAGTTCCATCCCCTGAAAAAAAAAATTCTTCAAGCTAGACATGGTGGCTCATGTCTATAATCCCAAGTACTCAGGAGAATGAGGCAGAAAAATTGTACATTTGAGCTCAGTCTGGGCAATGTAGTGAGATCCTATCTCAAAATAAAACATAGAAAGGGCTAGGAATGTAGCTTAGTGGTAAAGTGCCCCTGTGTTCAATATCAAGTACAATCAATCAATCAATCAATCCATCAATAAAATGTTCAAAATGATTAACATTTTATAGTTCTTGGGTAGCTTTTTTTTTTTTTTGACAGACTGCCTCAGTCTCCTGGATTACTGAGAATAGAGGCATGTGACACTGTACCCAGATCAATATAACTAATTCTAACTGATTATATTTTATAGGTTCAAATCAGTATGATTATGAAAGGGAAGGTTAACTTAGTTTATCTGTGTGAAATTTTTCAGATTTTTCTTTAATAAAAGTGAAGATATTTGAATATTTGAGTAAATATCTTCCAATATATCTGAAATTCAAATAAAAAGAACAATAAGTATCAGACAACCTTTTTCAGATATTAATTTTCAGATTAAGTCCTTTTGCTAAAAACTATTCATAAAATATTGCTATAGAGATGCACAAAAATGATAAAAATAATTCCTAATTCTTCTATGTCTGTATGAAAAAGAAGACATAGTAATACCGTTCCTAAGTTCTTTCAGCATAGCTGAATGGTAGAGAACTTGCCTCACATGCCTGAGTCCCTGGGTTTAATCCCAGCACCACAAAGAAAACATTTTAATTAAAAATAATAATAATGCCCCTAGAGTTCTAAAACATACAGAGAATTGGCAGTAATAAATAACACCTTCATAGGGTAATAGAGACATTAATTTTAGCCAATAGAGCTATATCATTCATATTCCAAAGTAACCTTAAAAACACTAGCTTAGGGTTTGGGGCAACGTAGCAAAAACTCAACTCTGCCTGCTTGTCCCCACTAAGAAGAGCTAAAAAAATAAAATCTGGAAATAATACAGTAAAAAATCAGGATAGCACTAAAGAATGAAAAGATAAAAGATTGATTAGGAACTCTGAGGACTTAAAAAATAAAGCAACTAACCATCTCCTAATACTAACACAATGGCAGAAGACAGGTCAGGCAGAAAGACAGCCCAGACCTAGTGTCTCCTGATACTTAACCCTTCAACAAAAGATGACTTATGTAGGCCCTTTGCTTCCCCAGTGGCAGTGGCAGGAGCTCCAGCAGTAAAATGTGATCTGTATGGTGGACCTAGAGAAGTTCAAATCTCCACGCTGCAGCTCCACCATGGACACCAAGGTGCCAGATGAATGAAACAGACCAGAATAGCAAAGCATGAACTCTCAAAACTACATTGTCACTAGAACCACAGGCCCTAGAAGTAGTCCAGGACCAATGTACCTAAACAGGCAGAATGACAGCTAAATAGAGGATTTAAATGTAGAATCCAAAGTAGCCTTACATAATACCCAAAATATCCAGGAGACAAAAATAAAATCCCTGTCATACCAAAAAACCAGGAAAATTACAACTTAAATCTTTTTGCATCAACAAGTACAAAATCAACAATGAGCAAGTGTCAACATCGAGATGAATCAGGAAAAGATTTTATCTGAAAAGATTTTAAAAGCATTTATCAAAATGAAGGTTAGGAGTGTGGTTCAGTTGGAGAGTTTTTCCCTAGCATGTGCAAGGCCCTGGGATCAATCCCCAGCATTACCAAAATAAAACAAACAAACAAACAAAACAAACAAACAAACAAAACGAGCTTTTCAAAGGAGTAGAAGATGTTAAAAACAGAAACAAATGAAATTATAGAACTAAACATAAAATCACAGAAATAAAAACTTAATGAAAGGACAAGGGGCACAATAACGAAATATATAGGAAAGAAACAATGAATGTAAAAACAGAACAATAGAAATTATCCAATCTGAACAAATACAGAAAATGCAAATTTATGACTACTAATATAACTATATGACATTTGACTGTAAATTACATTATTATTTCCTTTTAAACTCTTTTATGCTCTTCTTAGAACACTATAAGTAAAGAAAATAAGGTAATGGTCAATATTATTGATGTTAAAAAAGTAAAAAATAGGGCTGGGGTTGGGGCTCAGTGGTAGAGTGCTTGCCTCGCATGTGTGAGGCACTGGATTTGATCTCCAGCATCACATAAAAATAAATAAGTAAATAAAGGTACTGTGTCCATCTACAACTAAAAAATATTTTTTTAAAAAGTAAAAATAATGGGGCTGGAGTCGTGGCTCAACGATAGAACACTCGCCTTGCACGTGTAAGACCCTGGGTTCGATCCTCAGCACCTCATAAAAATAAATAAGCAAAATAAAAATTAAAGAAAATTTTAAAAAAGTAAAAATAATGCCCAATATGTTTATTAAACCTACACATACATATAAGAACACAGAAGCTTCCCTAGTTACTGCACATACTTCTGCTCACCCTCATTATTTCCAAGGTATGAATCTGATGATACTTACCTTCTAACTAAATCTGGTTTTTGAAGAGCTGCTTGTTGTTCAACTCCAACTGGTTGGGGTATGGTCTGTAAGTAATAAAAATAAAGATTGTTACAAGAGCAAAATTCAACCTAAGGAGGCAATCTGTTGTTATTTCAGAAATTTTCATTGTTACATTTCCTATTTTGGTTACCTTGCAAACCAGGTAGAATGTCTTTGTTATTGAAAGTCTATACCAATCCTGTTATTGACATTTTTACTAAAGATAAAGAAAAATAAATGTAGCAATAAATCAAGTACATCTTATTCATCAATATTTTCATTAAAATTAGCATTTTTATGTACTTTTGTTTGTCATTTTTGAACAAAGAACACTACTATTGAACTTGTAGTCCTGGTTGTAAAACTACTACTTAAAAGAATTTTTGCCATTCCACAAGAAGATGAATCAATGACTCAAACTTCCTCTTAGAAAGAAAAATACCAATCCTGCTGGAAAATAATTTTAAATATTTACCTAATCAATACTCTACATACTCCTCACTGGTGAGAACAGAGAGGAATCTTAGAATGTAAATTTAATAAAAACAATAATTTCCCTACTCGGTTAACCACTCTGTGATGGCATCTCATCTTCCAAAAGATTAAATTTTTCAGATGATGAAAGTCCACAATGAACTGGTCCATGTCTGATTCTCTAGCTTCATCTCTGCTTGAAGCCACACTAAGCTGGAGTTCTCTGCATGAGTTGGATCCTTCCATATATGCTATAACTCTACTTATGTTTCTCTACTTCCCCAGGCTATTTATTTCAAGCCATCTTCTATCTTGTCCATTTAGCAAATATGTGGACAGAACTTCTACATATAAGAAACCTCTATGAGGTTTCAGAAATAGATCAGCAAAATTTTCTTGGAGAATTAAAAAAAACATATATCTTAGCTCATATTCTGATTTCTAAACTAGAAAGGAAGAAGGTTCCATGTAGAAATGGATGATTTTCCATCAATGGGACAAGAAAGTACTAGAAGAGCTTTACTCTGCCAAAAAGTAAAACAATACTTAAAAGAATGATGAGGACATATCAAAAACAGAGAGGACAAAATTGAAGGAGCTCCTACTGTCAAAATCTGGGACAATTTGGGCATCAAAATAATAATAGTAAAAGAATATAACACACTTAATAAAATAAGAATCCATGACTTCATACTCTTAAGAACAAATGAACAAATAGAAAAGGAAAAGCTCTTATTTACAGTAAAAGACAACTAATAAATAAAGAGGGATGATGGAGTTAGAAAATCATAAATGGATGACAAAACCAGAAGGTGAAGGTTGAATAAAGAATAGGATATTTACTAGTTTCAAAGTTTCAAAGTTTCCTACAGATTGCTTTTTAAGTACAAAGGCAAAAAAAAAAAAAGGGTAAATTTACACTGGAAGAATTTGGAAGGCCTAACCTTAACAAACTAATCAAACTTAACTTCCCCAACACTGGAACAAAGCAACATCACATGCGTTCTACTACTATGTGCAAATAAAAACACATTTAATGTACATGATTTTCCTGAAAAAAAAATGTATAATCTGAATCTAAAGAAAAGGAAACTTCACATTGATTCAAATTGAAGGGCATTCTGTAACATAACTGGCCTTCATTCTTCAAAAATATCAATGTTATGAAAAATAAAGACTGAATAAATATTCTGAATAAATAAATATTAAAGAAAGAAAAAAAGATAAAACAACTAAAGGTAATACATGACCTTTAATTATATCATGGATCAAGCAGGGTGAACTTGCCATAAAGGACATCATAATAATTAATGAAAATGTTGAGGTGGATAATAGATAATAATATTATATTATTAAAATAGATAATAATATTATATTATTATCTGTTAATGTTAACATTCTCTAAATTGGTCACTAAATTGTAGTTATTTAAGAAAATGTCTATATTTGTGCATGTGTCTATATGCATACACACACATGTGCTGGCAGTGGGGATTGAATCTATGGCCTCACTCATGCTAGACAAGTGATCCACTATTGAACTATACTCCCAGCCAATGTCCTTGTTCTTGTACTGAAATATTCAGAGGTAAAATGGCATCATGTTTGCAACTAGCTCTCTCATATGATTCATGGGGAAAAGCATAGGTAGATGGGTGGATTATTGGACAAGGGAATGGACAGACAGACCCGTAATCTAATAGTGTCTTTTATCATAGCCCTCTTTATCATGCATGTTTAATATCAAACTCCAAGGACTCACTGATTCATTTTGCCTTCTTGGTGCCTCTTAGCACAGTACCTGGCACATTTTAGGGTTCCAATAAATATGTGAAGTTAGAAAGAAATAGGGAAGGAAAGTTTGACATGGAAATAAAGGCCGTGCCACAAAAATGTTTGTGAACTGATATTAGGATTCCTGAAAATCAATCATTAAAAAATAACACAAAGGAAAGAAAACAACATGGTATAAAGCTTGTTTCACAGTAAATGTTCAATAAAATGTTAGCTATACCTGTATTTTATTATAGTATTATATGTAATACAAACTAGCAGCAAGTTAGTTGTCTAGGAATAAGGGAAGGATTAGGTAAATAGGAGTGTTTATCATACTACCACATGACTATTAAAAAGTGAAATCATGAAATCATGCCAGGTGCCATCATGTCTGCCTGTAATCT